AAGAGTCATTTAAAAATGGAATTTGTTAACTTCTCTGCGTTGTCTGAATTATTTTGAATTAAGGGAGGAACAATTTATTTTTTAGAAAGCCAACCACATAGCTGGTCACTGAGAGCTTGAAGTGTGTTTCCCAGTGGCTCCTTAGTTCTGCATGTTTCCCATCCCACTGAGGTCCACAATCATCAAAAGTCAGACTCTCTGAAAAAGACTCTCTCAAACACTACTGAACTTGGCCTCTTCTTAGTAGAAGTAATCACAGAGACTAGAGGTGGACTTTTTTGTCCTGCTATAGTGCTTTCTAAATGAATCTTTCTTCTGTTAAGATGAACAGGATGAGAAGCATATATGAATCCTTTATTACAGGAGGTTCAGAGAAATTGTTCCACTGAAGGGCCTTGCCTCATCATTATTTAATAGTTTTTCATCAAAATAATATTAACTTTCATCTGTATCAGTCTTTTTAAAAAGTTACTTTTAAAAGTACTTTTAAAAAATTGTACTTTTTAAAAACTTAAATAGCCCATGAATGTTAGAAGGTGCTTCCTCCTGTATTTCTCTACAAAACATGACCTTTGGAGCCAGATAGCCCTGAGTTTTCATCTATTGCTCTCTAGATTGTATCTCAGATTGGTTAACCTCTCAGTTTTATCTTCCTTTCTTATAAAGTGGAATAAATTCAGTTTTTCATTCAGTATATTGTGTTTTTTTCTGTGATAGGGACTGTGCTAGATGCTGTAGATAGGAAGAGGCAATCCCAGCCCTTAAGGATTTTATAGTCTATTAGAGCTGAGAATTAGGTATGTCAAAATCTGACATAGTAATAATACACTTTAGGTCTCTTTTCTCCCTTTCCTTCCCCTGTGAAAAATGCGACAGAAACCAAGCTCCCCAAAATGTTAGGTGACAACTCCAGGTCACAAATTCAGTCAGTGGGAGAGCCAGGAAAAAAGTTTTGAGTCTCTCCAGTCCAAGTCTTACTTCCCTGTCCCTTTCTTGCTTTGGAGGAGACATGCATTTGCACTGTAAACAAAACAGAAGGCAGGCCTGAGCTTGTCATCTAAAGTAAAATAAGGGTGCTAATATTTTCTTCTAAGCCTAATTTTGTGAATAGTGCATTTTTATCTCCAGTGCGTGATTTGGCATAAAGTATAATAATAGTTGCCAATTCAAACAAAAACAACTATCCTGTTCCTAATGGGGCAATTGAGCAACTGGATATGTTTCATATGCAGCATGTTTTCTAGCTGTAGACCAGTATGTTTACCAAGTGTGAGCCCTTGGGTCAATACATTTTGAAGAATGCATCAAACCAAAGACCCCAAAAGTGGAAATCACAAACCATTTCAGAAAAGCAGTAGCAAAATTTTTCCTGCATTAGATGTATAAATAATATAGGGCCATCAGAAATTCTATTTTTATCCAGAAAGTAATCTCACTTTAAGTGAGATTAAGTGAGATTAAGACTTTAAGTGTTAAGTCTTTTTTGTGTGTGCTGAGGTTCAGTCTGAATGACAATTTCCCAGAGAAAAGCAGTATACCAGTGGTTCCTACAATGCATTTCAGTGATCATAAAAGCTGTAAATATCCTATAATATTTTAAAAATTAGAATGGACAAAAGTAGAATAAAGGCACAATAAATAACTAAGCACAGGAAATCAAACTGACACTTTACAAAGGGGAGCTAGTATTATTGAATCTGAAAACACTTTGAATCTCAATAGTAATCAAAGAAATATAATTTTTTTTTTTTACCAGATGCTATCAAACTTTGTTGAGTGTAGCAATGTAGAAAGAACCATATGATTTTAAAACAAATTTTGGCCCAGTAGTTCTATGCTGGGGACCTTACCTTAAAGAGGTATTCAGAAAATATCAGCACAGAGGTATTTAGTAGTCTTTTATTTCTGGTAATTTAAAATCAGAGCCATCTAAATGTCTAAAATTAGGGGAATATTTAGCAAGTAAGGATGGAAGTCTGCTTGGTGTAATACTATGCAGCCAAAAAAAAGTAGATAAAATTTACACAAAAAGATGGAAAACTGCTTATGACATGTTTCATGAAAGCAAATTGAAAAACTGTTTACTGATTAAAATATGTAAAGGTCATATGTGCAAAAGACTAGTATATACATTATATTAATGTGGTGATAATATGGGTGCTCTCACAATTCTGTTTTCTGTATATCCTGTAATGTAGTTGTATTAATTTGCTAATTTAAATTATATATTTGAAAGAGGAAAATACAATTAAAGTTGAATTTAAAGGAAATAATTTTCTCTGCTTAAATAGTCTATACTGCTTTTTATATGTATAAAAAGGAGCCATTTAGAAAAGGTATTAGACTTAATCTTTACTAGATTTATGACTATACCAATGAAGGTACAATTCTCAGTTAAATTATGTCTTCCTCTTGATTATTAATTCTTTTTTAAAACTACATGAGGAACTTTACTGTCTTTTACCAGCTCTGAGATCATTAACTTATGAGTAAGCAGGCCGTGTAAATCCACAGTTGGCTAAGGTTAATTTAGTGAGCATTACATTTAGGCAAAACATCAGACAGCAAAGCACAGTGGGCCACACAGATTAGCTGGTAGTCATAACTACAAACAGCTCTTACAGCATCACCAAAGGAATTCAAAGAACTCACCGAAGAAATTCCCCACGACTCTCAGGGAACGTGATGGAGTGCTACTGGGAACAGTGGCCTGTAGAAAACTTCACAGTGAAGTTAGTCCTGGGAATGTACAAGAAATACGAACACATGGTTAAAAAACCCTTTTAAGTGCAGAAATGTAAAAAGTAAAAACTATGAGTACCCTTTTTAATCCCTATCTCCATATCACTCTCTCAAACTAGTCACCATTAATAGCTTGACATGTGGATTTCTAGTCATTTTTAAAATTAAAAAAAATACATATCTAATTAATTCTACTGGCCTGTATATGTATATATCCTTTTCTTTACAAATTAATTAGATAATGCCAAACCAACCAACTACTCTTTGCTTTTCTTAATAATATATTCTGAATATCTTTCTCTGTTACTACATATATTTTGTCATACTGTTATCTTCTTATCTGTTTGTTTTTACAGCTGTGTTATTCCATTTTATCATAATTTTCAATTAACATCTTATATGTATCCTTTTCTTCCTAGGATAAATTCTTAAAAGTGGAATTGCTAGGGGAAGGGTGCTTACTTTCACCATTTGATAGATATTTCAAAATTTCCCTCTAAAAATATCATATCAATAACATTCTCAGAGTTGTACATGAGATAGAAATATTAACTTTAAATTCATTTCCTCCAGGATATCACATCAGTCTTTGGGTTATTAAAATAGAGACCATACTTTTAATATTCTCCTGGAATACTTTGTAATCCGCATATCACATTCTGCCTTCTGTGAAAGCTATATATTTGCTTTCTCTCTCCTGCAAAAGTCCCTTGAGGGCAGGATTTTTATCCTGTACATTATTGTGTCCCCTCAGAAAGCTTGCATAAAGTCAGTACTCAATAAATAGTTTGTTGAATGTTGCTTACTAAATATATTTTACCCTTGGCTAGGATATATAGGCAAAGCTATCCAAGGATTAGTCATCAGTGATTCATAATTATGCAACTGAGAAGTAGGCCTAAATTTTAGACATTCCTCGGTGATTTAGTGTCAAAACTTGCTTCCTTTGGGCACAGTTAAAAGGGTGTTTGGATAAATTTAAAAATAAATAAATAAATAAATAAAAGGGTGTTTGGTTATTTAACTATACTGATTTTCTTATTTCTCCTTTGACTTTTTTATTGCTAATGTGAACTGTAGTTTTCATGGAGAATAAAAAGCTTACTGATATACAATTTAAAAGACATCCCTTCCTGCAGAATAGATTTTTAAGATATAGAGTTATTTTTCCTCTCACAAAAAGACTAAAAAATAGGAAATATCTTAGATCTATGTGGGTTTGCATAGCTGCCCTTTGAAATATTTTCCTAATGCTTGTGATTTTATATTTTTCTTATCTACAGGATTCTTCTTCATTTTCAAATGGACTTTGTTTTTCAAATATTCTGAGAAATTTGGCTACATTAGTCTGGAGACAATCCTAGGCTTACTAGGTCTATTAATGTGATGCTACCTGCTATAACCAGCTTCAGAATTTCAGTGGCTTAATATGATAGGAGACTCTGGGGAGTCTTTGGTTGGTGGATGGCTTTTCTCCACGTAGTGATTCAGGGATCCAGGCTCCTCCATCTAATGGCTCTGTCATTTTGAAGTCATCCAAGCAGATGGGGAAAGGATGGAGAAGGCCAACTCATACTTTATTGTGCCAGCCTAGAAGAGATACACATCACTTTCAGTAACATTATACAGTTTAGACCTAGTTTTAGTCCCATCAAAGAAACAGAGGAGGAGAAAAATGTAGGCCTGGCTTGGCAACTACCACCCAGCAAGAGTTCCGCAATATGGAAGGAGGACCACAAGGCTTTTAGTGGACAGTTATCTGTTTCTCACAACCTATTAGATAGGCAGAACAGGTTTTAATTTTGTAGATAGTAAAGAGGTACTGAAAAGTTGGGACTTTCCAGGTGGCGTGGTGGTAAAAAATCCACCTGCCAATGTGGGAGATGCAGGAGACTCGGGTTTGATTCCTGGGTCAGGAAGATCCCCTGGAGTAGGAAATGGCAACCCATTTCAGTATTCTTGCTGGGGAACTTCCATGGAGAGAGGAGCTTAGCAGGCTGCGGTCCATGGGGTCTCAAAGAGTCAGACATCACTGAGCAACTGAGCACGCACACACTGAAAAGTTGACATCCCACAGCTAGTTAGCAGTAGAGATGTAATTTAGAAGCCAGATCATGACTTCTATTCAGTTTATCTTTCCTTAATATTAAATAGTGATCCTAGTCTGGCTTAAAGTATAATCCTCTTAGTGATTCATTACTTCAAATTGCATGTTCTTTTTTTTCCTTTTAATTCCTTTTTCTCCTAAGGAACTGACAATGTCCCTGTATTATGGAACTGCTTGCAGGAGAAAATTTTTTGAGGGCTATAGGCTGCTGTCAACCTATGTCACTAAGACACGGTGAGTTTTGACCAAACTGAGCTCTGATTCTTCTATCTTTGGTCCATTAAAATTATAAAATATAAATATCTCAAAATTCTATATTGGGGCTTAAGGATGTATGATTAAGATTTACATGTAAAGATGTTCAATGCAAATTATTTATAGTTAGAGAATTTCTAAACTAAATTTTCAATAATAGCTAAAGTGTCTGACATACTTAAATATAAGTTCTTTTTTTAAGGTAATAATATAGTCTTTTCCGCTATGGTACCTCTCATGCATAGAACCCTACTATATGGCACATAGTAGGCACTGAAATATTGTTGAATGGATGAATAAATAGTAAGGGAGAAATTAAATTATGATACAGCCGTTATGATGGAATTAAAACTATATTGAATAATAGTTCATTAATGTTGCTGAAAATAAAGTAGGTAATTCCATTCATGCATACTATGCTTCTCAAACTCCTTCCCCCAAGAACAAACCTCAGTGAAAGGCAGTCTGGAAAAAAGCATCTATACCAGTACAGAAAGATGAAAGAGGACTTCTTTTTCATCAATCTGAGCAAACGTAAAACCTGTGAATTTGAAATCACTAGCCTGCTGTCATACAATTTTGGGGTATAAATTTGCACCATCTATGTGGTGTATTTCCAATTTCCCAACCTGTGAAAAGAATTTAAGTAGCATTTGTAGACCTGCAGAAGCAAGTGTAAAACCCCTCTGGAGGGATACACTCACAACCAGAGCTTTACATGTTGAAAGCTCTCCCATACATGAGTGCCCAGTCCGAAATTTAAAAGCACACAAACATGTACAATCTTATACGAGCAAGAGTGAGAAAACAAATTGCAATACTTGTTTTAGATATTAACATTTGAGTTATTTACAGTTCTCAGGCTGAGACCCTGAGAACAATAACAAAATTACTGAATAGTCTAAAAAATAGAGTGTTAAGGTGATTAAATACATTGAAAATGAATAAAAATCATAAGAAAATAAAATTCTATCAGTGAAGAATATGGTTTGAAAATGTTAATGTTTAAGAAAAAAAGGCTACAAATTAGTAGATGGAGTATAAAAGTATTTATTGTACAATTTATTGGATAAATGGTTAATATTAATACATAGTTTGGAGCGTTCTAAGGGATAAACAGTGATCAATCATCTCTGAGTGGTGAGATTCTTGATGATTTCCCTTTTTTAAAAAAATTGGTAACTGCATATTCTAATTTCAGTAGAATGACTATTTTTCAACTTTTATAACAAGAAAACAAGAGTTGAAGTCTGTTAATCTTAGTGTGTTGTGGTTTCCATACTATTATATTTAAAAGGAGAAAATGCATTTTTAAGTGACTGATTATTGAGGCATAGTTGATTTATAATATGTTTCAGGTGTATAACACAATAATTCAAAATTTTTATAGGTTATATTCCATTTAAAGTTATTGTAAAATGTTGGCTATATTCCCTGTGCTGTACAATATATCCTTATAGCTTATTTTTTATTGAAATATAGTTAATTTACAATGTTTCAGGTGTACAACAAGAAAATGCATTTCTAAAAAAACACGTTCCAATCAAGAAGAATATTAGATTTTGGATCTCGGTCCCAGTTGCAGCGAGGCCCAGGGTTTAAGACCTTAACCTGGTTATTTCTGTAGATGTTTTGCTCTTTATGGTCATTAGGGCAAAGCACAGGTTGTACCAGTCTTACTGCTGTTTTACAAAGGCCCCAGTGTGTGTTCTGTTGTCTATGTTAATATTTGGTAACATCCGAGTGGCACCTGTCTCTCCTTTGATATACACTCAGTCTTTGTCCCAGGAGATTACAGTCACTCACAACTATAAAAATATCTTGAGTATTAAAATCTCAGGTTCCTTTTGTCTTCTGTTTACAAAGAGCTCATTGCAATCGCTTTTATTGTACAGTCAAAAATAAGTTTCTAAAGATACCACTGGGGCATGTTTATCATTTTGCTTTGTAGTTTCATGTGGAGCTAATGCTACTGGTATTACTAAAGCTCCCAGATTCTACAAAAAATATCTGTGAACTGTATTTCCCACTTTAAGGGACAAAAAGTACTGTATACCTGAGAGTCTGTTTTAGGGATTTCAACCGTCAAAATCATTATGCTGGGAGTTCCCTGGTGGCTAAGTGGTTAGGATCATGGGCTTATGCTGCTGTGGCCCAGGTTCAATCCCTGGCCGGGGAACTGACATCCTGCAAACCATATGGCACAGCCAAAAAAACTGAAACAAAACTAAAAGGGAGTCCACATTCAGCCCTCCCCAAATCACACAGACCTTGCCCTGATTCCTGAGGCCCTTGAAAGGATAGACTCAGGCCATCTTTAATGAAGGTGCAGAACTTGCTCCATTCATTTTCTTTTTTCTTTTTTTTTTTTGAGAAGCTAATTATAGGATGCTCTTTTTTCTACAGTTTAATTCTGGCTACTGAAAATATTACACTTATTAAATAAATGTCAAATATGGCTTCACTTTCATCAGTGGTCCCTTTAGTAGAGATAAGGACCTAATGGCATCCACTTGGGAGAATAGATGCTTGAAATAAGATTGCATTTAAGGTAAAATTTTTACTCTATCATCCCTAGGTTGAAAAGGGGTTTCTGAAGGTATATGTTTGCTCCTTGTCCGCAATAATAAAGTCTGCTCCCATCTCCAGTACTCTGTGGTTGATGTTTTATCACTGTACTTGTTTTCCTTTCACTTCACTGCATGTAAATTCTTGCCTCACAACATAATATTGGCAGAGTACCTTGAGGTTCAATTCAGTAAATATTTATTACTGTTGAAGTTCAAGTCATAAATATTTATTGAATTGAGCCATTCAGCATGCTAATTACTCGAGATACATAACTAAAACAGACCCTACCTGCCCTTAAGAAGATTGCAATCTTAGAGCAGACAGATAGATTAACAAATAGAACCATGTAAGTGCAGTCACAGAAGTATGGGCAAGGTATACAGGACAAAGGAGGGAATGACCTCCCAGAGTCATATCCTTTTTAAAAGCAATTTAGGATGGAAATAAATAAAAAGAAATAACTGTGGTAGGAGAGCAATGCAGGGACATAGTTCTCAAAGATGAACATTGTACAGGAAACTAGGTATGGTTTTCTAATGGATTGATTATTTCCAAAATACAGGTATTTATTTGAACTGAAAGAAGATGATGATGCATGTAAAAAAGCCCAGCAGACAGGAGCATTTTACCTCTTTCATAACTTGGCTCCTTTGCTTCAGAAATCAGAACATCAGTACGTGGCCCCCCAGCATAGCCTATTAGGTAAGCCCAAAGTAGACCAGCAAAATAGACCAGCCTGTGGCCACTGAATGTGTCCATGTTAAATCCCTGAGGAGAGTCCTCCAACTTTAGAGTCCAGATTTTTTCCAAATGCTTTGGCCAATTAATTATTTAGTACATAAACTGAATTGCCCAGTTGGATATTTTTTGGCAATGATATGGGCCTCCTGGGCTGCTCAGTGGTAAAGAACCTGCCTACCAATGTAGGCTATCCAGGTTCAGTCCCTTGGTCAGGAAGATCTACTGGAGGAGGGCATGGCAACCCACTCTGGTATTCTTGCCTGGAGAATCCCATGGACAGAGGAGCCTCGTGGGCTACAGTCCATAGGGTCACAAAGAGTCAGACATGACTGAAGAGACTCAGCATGTGTGCACAAACTGTTTAAGATTTGCATCATGACTTAATTTCTCCTTAGAAGGGTCAAAGCTAAACATGAATTAAAATTAATTTGCTTTGAGATATAATAAGTTTTATATAACTAATTTTACAAATAATTACATATTATATAATTATTAATATATTAACAAATACACATAATTTGCTTTTAAGGTATATAACTAGAGATATCTAAGTCATTGGGAATTGGCATTCAAGATGCTACCTTTCAAGTTTTACATGATGTCACTATATGTTGTTGTTTAGTCACTGAGTTTTGGCCAACTCTTTTGCGACCCCATGGACTGTAGCTCACCAGGTTCCTCTGTCCATGGGATTTTCCAGGCAAGAATACTGGAGTGGATTGCTGTTTCCTTCTCCAGAGGATCTTCCTGATCCAGAGATCAAACCCGCATCTCCTGCATTGCAGGCAGAGTCTTTACCACTTGTGCCACCTGGGAAGCCCCTGGGTCACTATATGCCAACTTCTAAATACATTGCCAGGGCCAGATTATGCACTGCATATGTTGGAATACTTTGATAGTCTCTGGCAATACCTAAGTATATGAGGATGTTTATCAGAAGGCACTAAACATTATTTAGAGATTAGCAATGTAATCTTGTATTATGAACAAATAAATATGAATCCTTCATGCACAGAACAGATTTTCTCCAAATAACAGCACTTGCCTTTACAGACCAGGATCTCAGATGAGGAGTCTACCCTGGCCCATAAAAGCAGCATAATCTGGAGATGAAATTGTAGAACTGATTTGGTCTACCATTTTAAGTATGACACTTTTTTTTTTTCAGTGCTTTAGTAAGTTAACTATGATGTGTCTTTAAAACTAGGGGATATGCCCCTTTCATGATATAATCATAGAATAATACAGGATTACACAGAAAGAATTCCTTTAAACTCTTCAGACTGCTGATGGAGGCCAACAGAGGTTAAGTGATTAGGTCAAAATTACACAGCTAATTAGCATGCAGGGCAGTGACTGGGAGCCAGGTGTGCCTACTTCAAGTTGAAGTAGATGGTTTCTAATAAGTCTAGTATGGCTCTGGTGGTTTAATTAAAACCCTGTGTTTTTTTTTCCCCCTTTCTCCTTTTGTATTTCTTAGAGTTGGAAAGGCTCCTGGGTAAGTTTGGACAAGACTCTCAAATACTAGAAGATTCTGTGCTAATTGGATGCTCAGAACAGCAAGAAGCATGGTTTGCTCTGGATCTAGGTCTAAATAGCTCTTCTTCCATAAATGGTACATAACATTATTCTTGATGGACACTTCCCTGTGGTTCTTAGGCTTTGGGACTCCACATAATAAAATTTCAAAGAACATGTTAAGAATACAGAACAATTTCAGTTTTTAAATTGTTGTTGTTGCTTAGTCGCTAAGTTGTATCTTACTCTGCGACTCTCCTACAACTGCAACACGCCAGGCTTCCCTGTCCTTCACTATATCCCAGAGTTTGCTCAGACTCATGTCCACTGAGTCGGTAAAGCCATCCAATCATAAGCATTTCTTAAGTAAGAACATTAAAAAGTAACTACCATCTACTATCATCATTTTGAGAAGGAAATGGCACCCCACTCCAGTACTCTTGCCTGGAAAATCCCATGGACGGAGGAGCCTGATAGGCTACAGTTCATGGGGTCGTGAAGAGTCCGACAGGACTGAGAGACTTCACTTTCGCTTTTCACTTTCATACATTGGAGGAGGAAATGGCAACCCACTCCCGTGTTCTTGCCTGGAGAATCCCAGGGACGGGGGAGCCTGGCAGGCTGCCGTCTATGGGGTCGCATAGAGTCGGACACGACTGAAGCGACTTAGTAGTAGTAATAGTAGTGCTATCATCATTACATAAAATAAAGGACATTTTTTAATGCTTTCTCAACTACATGGTGGTACACAGATGTTTATTATATTATTCTCTGTACCTTCATGTATTTTATATATCTTAAGAAGAAAGAAATGTTTTAAAATTCATGACATTATTCTTATTTCTCTTACCAATGCAGGTAAATAAACACATTACCCTGGAGTAGCTCTGGGTCTTCAGACTTGCATTTGGAAACTGGTCTGCTAGAGCTTGTGGCCCTTATCAAGCCTTCCGTCTCTGTTTCAGGGTATCAGCTGTGAATACAATGATGCTGGAATGAGGTTTAGATAGGGGCTCAAAGGTCCCATTTCATCTTTCTTCCAGGGATAGTGTGTGGCTAGTGCAAATGTCCTTATTGCCCCGAAGAGGATCTTGGGAAACACTATGCTCTAATGTTTTCCAAATCTGCCCGAATATAAGAATCTCCTGGTGCTTGTTAAAAAAAAAAAAGAGAGAGATTTCTGGGCCTCACTCATCTGCCATTCAGAATCTCCAGGTAGGGGCTTGAGAACTTGAATATTTTTTTGTTCTTCCTAATTGAGTCTTATTAGGTGAGTTTGGGAAACACTCTTCTAACAAGATATACTAGAGAGAGCCCCTGAGGTAAAGTCTGACATTTGCTTCATTTCATTTTCTTTTCTAATATTTTAGCTTCCTTACAGAAAGCTGAAGTGGAGACAGCCCTCCAGGGGTCGTTCATTAAGCTGACAAAGGCTCTCTTTGAGCTGAATGTGAAGGATGCCTCCTTGCTGTCCACGGTAGATTGATTTCTTGGTTCTGTAGGAAATTTAGTAAAGTAGTGTATATGGGAAAGATTTGATTTCTTTTTTGCAGATCAGAGACTTTTTGCAGATCATAGACCGTGTTTCTTCTTCTTTTACCCTGTTTTTGTCGGTACCGTTTTCTCCTAAGTGTGTATAGATCTATGGCACTGTGATCTGTAGGCCTTATAAACACTTTTAATGACCCACAGCATGACATGCATGGTGAGAAGTTACTCTACATTGCCCTAATGACTTGTTCTCCACCTTTGGATTTCACTTGCTGAAATGGCTTTTGACTGTCCATTTAATTGGGCTTCCCAGGTGGCACTAGTGGTAAAGAACCCAGGGGCCAATGCAAGAGACATGAGAGACTCAGGCTCAGTCCCTGGGTCAGGAAGATCTCCTGGAGGAGGGCAGGAAAACCCACTCAAATGTTCTTGCCTGGAGAAGCCCATGGACAGAGGAGCCTGGTAGGCTACGGTCCCTAGGTTTGCAAAGAGACGGACACGACCGCAGTGACTCCGCATAGCACAGTACAGCCTAGGTGATTAATACCGTTGTGTCAGTTTCAGTGGTACAACAAAGTGATTCAGATATACATATATATACATACCATACACATATCTATTCTTTTTCAAGTTCTTTTCCCAATTCAATTGTTATATAATATTGGATTGTCCATTTAAGTTAAAGAGCTATCTCTAAACATTTTTTATTTGCAAAAAAATTCCAAACTTATTGGGGAGTACATATTGAGGTGTTTTGTTATTGTTCAGTCACGCAGTCATGTTCAACTCTTTGTGACCCCATGGACTGTAGCCCTCCAGGCTCTTCTGTCCATGGAATTCTCCAGGTAAGACTACTGGAGTAGGTTGCCATTTAATTTTATAGAAAATGTTTTCTTTTTAAGCTGTGTCATAAGTATATGGGTGTTCATTATTGTACTTTATTTTTTAAATAATTCATAATACACTTAAAATATGCTTTTTTAAAATTCATACTTAAAATGATAGAGGACTATTTTCAGAGTTTCCTTTAAATTTTAAATAATTAATAACCATTTAAAGTAGGTGAGCTGGAAAGGGAATGGCATGTCCCTTTGAGTTGCTCTAAATATTAGTAGCCCCAGCACCATTACAGATGAAACTCACATTCTCTCCAAATGGTACCAAGTCCATCTTTGTGTTCCTAGGCTCACGCTCTTCTTCGTTGGCATGATGCTCATCAGTTCTGCAGCAGAAGTGGGCAGCCCACCAAGAAGAATGTGTCTGGTAGCAAGCGTGTGTGCCCTTCCAATAACATCATCTATTATCCACAGGTAAGCATTGCTTTAAAAGGACAATAATCCAAGCCAAAAGGCTTTCCTTAGTTACCCATTACTTAGTTTCATTAACAGGCCCTAAAGCCCTGGTGTCTAAGTTTCCATCCCCTTTTCCTAGGTGGCACCTGTGGTGATCACTCTGGTGTCAGATGGAACTCGATGCCTGCTTGTCCGCCAGAGTTCCTTTCCCAAGGGAATGTATTCTGCCTTGGCAGGTTTTTGTGATATAGGTAAGGAATTTAGGTGTATACAGATAACATCGAAGGAAATGAAAGCTTATCAATAATGTGTATGTGTGTGTGTATATATATATATATATATATATATATATTTTTTTTTTTTTTTTTCCCCTTGGCTGCACCGGGCCTCCGCTGCTGTACTCCAGCTTTCTCTAGTTGCGGTGGACGGGCTTCTCGTTGAGGTGGCTCCTCTTGTTGCAGAGCAGGACTCTAGGGCACACGGGCTCAGTAGTTGTGGCGGGTGGGCTCGGTAGTTGCAGCCTGCAGGCTCTAGAGCGCAGGCTTAGTAGTTGCGGCGCTTGGTTGCCCCGCAGCATGTGGCCTCTTCTCAAACCTGGGACTGAACCCATGTGCCCTGCATTGGCAGGTGGATTCTCAACCGCTGGACCACCAGGAGTGTTCAAGTTATATATTTATTCTTATTGCCAGAGTACTTGGAATCTCAAGCACATTTTCTCCTATTATATCAAGAAAACTACCTTCTGGTACTACAATTTTCCAATATTTTATAGGCAAATTTTCAAATATAAGCATAGTTAGAAGATTTATACTGTAAACACCAATATACTCACCACCTAAATTCAATAATTACTATGCTTATTTTATCACAAATCTGTTCATTCTTCCATCCATCCATTAATCCATCATATTTTCTGATGCATAGATCACAGATGCATACACTTCCTCCTAAATATTTCAGCATACATATTAATATTCTATTAACTAAAATTTAATGATTATTTATAGGCTGTTTTTTTCTCAGCCCATTGCAGTAAAATTGGCAAATGCTGACATGTGGCATTCGAATTTTGTTAAAAAGCTGAGGACAACAGTAGTCTTTCCAACTCTTGTTTTGTGTAACAAACATAGCAGGTTCAAGAACTGGCAGTTTGATACCCAACTCCAGATTTGATTCCTAGTGTAAAGACTCAGAGATTTAGGCCTTTCCCAAGAGTATTTCCTTGACTTTGAGGCCACTTTTATGCTCCTTTCGAAAATGGGCATCTGCATCACCCTTCCTGCTACAGGGCTGTCCTGAATTAATCTGAGTACTTATAGGTGAAAGTCTGGAAGAGACTGTCCGGCGAGAAATTGCAGAAGAGGTGGGATTGGAGGTGGACAGACTGCATTACTCTGCATCCCAGCATTGGCCCTTTCCTCACAGCACACTCATGATTGCTTGTCATGCAACTGTGAAACCAGGGCAGACAGAGGTACGTTCTGATGCTTTCCTTATGACATATCCTTTGCCTCATCCTGGCTGGTCCACAGTTACTCACTAAGCACCTGCCTAGTCCAGCACAAAGATGTGTAAGATATGATTTATACCTTTACGGAATTTTACAATCTTATAAACAAATTCACCATAAAAATTAGGAATGTCAACATGAGCACCATTCTTCCTTGTATATATATCTCAATCATGAGACAGTTTACCTTTCTTCATCAGGAAATTAACAATGTTTTACACTGAATAGGCACACAATAAATATATAAAATTTAATGACTGATTTCAGAATTGGTCTTACAGCTCAAGTCAGTCAGGATGCTGGGGACTAATAATATAAAATCACAGGAACTTCTGACTGAAAGGGACTTAGGTGTTGTCTTATCTAACCTCATCTTGCTCTTTCATAAGTCTCTTTTTTTTTTTTGCTTAGGGATTTTTTTTTCCATTTATTTTTATTAGTTGGAGGCTAATTACTTTACAGTATTGTAGTGGGTTTTGCCATACATTGACATGAATCAGCCATGGATTTACATGTTCCCCATCCTGATCCCCTCTCCCAATCCCATCCCGTTGGATCTTCCCAGTGCACCAGCCCTGAGCACTTGTCTCATGCATCCAACCTGGGCTGGCGATCTGTTTCACACTTGATAATATACATGTTTCAATGCTATTCTCTCAGATCATCCCACCCTCACCTTCTCCCACAGAGTCTAAGTCTGTTCTATACATCTGTGTCTCTTTTTCTGTCCATATAGGGTTATCGTTACCATCTTTTTAAATTCCATATATATGTGCTAGTATACTGTATTGGTGTTTATCTTTCTGGCTTACCTCACTCTGTATAATGGGCTCCAGTTTCATCCACCTCATTAGAACCGATTCAAATGTATCATTTTTAATGGCTGAGTAATATTCCATTGTGTATATGTACCATAGCTTTCTTATCCATTCGTCTGCTGATGGGCATCTAGGTTGCTTCCATGTCCTGGCTATTATAAACAGTGCTGCAATGAACATTGGGGTCTTAACAGATTGTGTTGTGTTCCCTATTTGCCAAAGTCTGCCTATTCTGTGCTTTGGTTTCTATACAGTAATATCTAACCTATCTCAGTTTCTGTAATAAACTGTGGATGCAGTTTGCATTATTTTGCTTCCTGCAAGGAAGATACTGTGCTTTTGACTATCATGAACACTTACCTTTTAAAGAAGAATAACATTTATATATTTCCTTTTTAGTTATATAATCATTTAAGCACAAAAAGAAACAGTATTATTCATAACTTACATTCAGTGTTAACCACTTTTTTGTGTGTGTGGCTGCACTGCATGGCTTGCAGGATCTGTTTCCTGATCAAGGATTGAACCTGGGCCCTGACAGTGAAAGCGCGAAGTCCTAACCACTAGACTGCTAGGAAATCCCCAAACCACTCTTAATGCTTTACTATTTGAGCTTCCATGATTTTTTTTCAAGTGTGTGTGTGTGTGTGTGTGTGTGTGTGTTTTAATATTTTAAAAACATACTTAACTCTCTTCCCTTAATTATGGTTATTTTACTTCTGGACATTATCTAGAATTATCTCCCAGTGAATAGAATCCAGACACCATCTACTAAGATTGCTCAGTTCTGGAACATTTTCTCACCCTTGGCCATTGTACTCTAAGTAGCTCCTAACTTTATATCCTGTTTTTCCTTATGTCTTTCAGCTCCAGGTGAACTTGAGAGAATTAGAAGCAGCTGCCTGGTTCAGTCGTGATGAGGTGGCCACAGTCCTGAGAAGAAACCACCCATCTAATCAGCAACAGAGTGGTGCTGTCCCATTCTGGTTGCCCCCCAAGTTAGCCATTGCCCACCAACTGATAAAGGAGTGGGTGGAAAAACCAACCTGTTCTCCCCTGCCTGCTTAGCTCAGATCAGGCCTCCTGATCAGATAACCCCCTCCTCATGATCTAAGAGGGGCACATCAGAGAACAATTGATAAACAGGAGGTGACAAAAACCCATCCCTGGCCAACTTCATACGGCAGAACAGATGGTAAGCCTACAGCAGGACACATCTGCCAGTGTTAACAGAAGTTCCTAATCACAGGCAATCAAAAATCCCCAAACCGATCAGATAACAAAAATCAAAGCAAAAGTTGATTAGTTTGGATACAGGCCCTTGTTCACTCATTTTCCCCTGTGCTGTGGAAGCAAACATCTTCTGGCATGTGGCTTATCAATGCTGGATTTATACTAACTGCCAAATGTGCCTGGTATAATTTCAGTTAAAATTTTATCTTAGTATTAAAAATATATAGCAGATCTCAACCCACTACTGAGTTACTTTTTATGTTCACAGAATTTTAAAAAGTAGCACAACATTTTTGAATTTGTATAGAGGTAACTATTTTATATATAGTAGTTAAATAAAAGTCATATTTCTTTAAGTCCTTCATCCCAGGAAAGCCGAATTAAGGTCTTCCTCAAGGTGCTTTGTAATAAATCAAGATACAGTGATGTTCTGTTGAGGTAACTGCATGCCAGTGGGGCCCAAGAGGGCAAGTCAATTTTTTGCTGTTACTTGCTCAGTTTGCGACCCAGGGAAAAGGAGTATCCCTTGTCATGTCTGTTTTCCTAAACGTAAAATGGTTGCAGCCATTTGCGCACCCAGTAAGTGTTGTAACTTCAACAAAATGACCAGTGAAGATGAACCATTTCTTGAGTTTTATCAGATAAACTACACTTAGGATTTCTTGTCATTCATATATGCTGTTCTGTACCTTATCATAGGGGAGAAGCACTGATCTAGAGGAAATCAAATACATTTCTGAGCCTCTGTTCAGATGTGTTTTTCTATCTTACGAAGTGCAGAAACTGTAGAAAGTGCGAATTGAGGGTGGGAGGGAGGAAACTATTAGTGTGAAGTCTGTGTAATGACTAAAGCAATGTTGGGAAGAAATGCTGTTAGAAGTCTATTTGAGAAGAGGAATGGCTGAGGCAAGAGTCATATGTTCAGGTACTTTTGGCAACTAACTAGTAATTAAAGACGCAAGTGCCAGAGACCCTAACATGATTCACACACCCAAGTCCCACAGGACTAAGTAAAACAGATTCTAGAACTAGGGAGGATGAAGCACTGAATCTCCTTTTGATCCCAAAGGCTGGGATCAATACTCTCACTACTGCCAGCACACCATCACTGCTTTGGGAAAATCAAACTGCTGTCATTGGGAAATGCTGAAGGATAATATGTGATGGGACTCGACTGTCCTATTAGATTGGCGGCTTGCCCTGACCTGGGCTGAACCCGGCACATAGAAGGGAAAAAACACTCTAGAAAGAGAGGTCCTGAGATTTCTTCATATCTTGCAGTTAGAAGAAAACAGTTCAGGGTCCATGTGTAGTAAGTATTGCCTCCCAATGTTTTCTATCTCTATGTGGGTGTGTTTGTGACCACATGTGTACATATCCCCAGTCTGAAAATACTGATAGAAAGAGGAGTGTACAGAATTCCTGGTTATGAGTTTCTCAACTTACCACGAAGTAACTGTTTACTTTTGGATTATCATGTTGTTTTGGAAAAGAAAAAATGAGAGTAGTTAATAGGAGGAGCTGCAACATTGAACTTTGTTTCCCAGCAGTGACTGGAAAGAGTGCTTTGCTTCTTAGAAATCCAAGGATAACTCAGAGCAGAGGCAAAAGAGGGCAGGGTGGGCTGGGGTCCTAAAAAGTGGCAGATAAATAAAAGAAACTTTGGTACAGGGCTTACCTGACTAGAGAATATTTTTGTGGCAATGAATTATGAAGGTGCTAAGAATAAAAAGAACCTGATGGGTCCTTGAAGAAGAATAGCAAAAACAGGTAGAAGATTCAATTATTTGACACCAGAGGGAGACTGACTCAAGGTCGTTCTTGGTAACTGGAATAAAAAGCAGCTCATTCATTCCTTTTGTTTGCCAGTCCACCTTCCTTCCCCTACCCAATGTTTAATCCTGAATAAAGATAAACTTGGTGTTCCAAACATAGAGTGTGTAAGTCTTATCTCAAAGGCTTGATTCTCTCTCTTCTGCTGATTTCAAAACCTTGTATGCACCCCAGAGTTGATATCACAAAAGACTTGTGCAAAGAGGGCAACATTTGGGGCTCAGAGAGGAGAAGTTAACCTATGAACTTAAAATGAAGAAAACATTTTTACTAGATGAGTAATCAAAACTAAAGATGAGCATAGTCAGACTCAATATTTATTCAAGAAAGAAAAAGAGAGGCTAGGTTGGCTTGCTAATCTTTCGTTGGCTTACTTGTGGGTCTGTGATCAGCATTGTCAGGCAGCTGCACACCCATGCTTTGTAAAAGGTTGGAAGCAGGTCCTGCTAGTCCAGCTTGGGAACTATAGGACTCTAATATGTTTGAAATCAGGTTCAGGTCTACATCCACTGGCGTCATAACAGATCCTCCTGTGCCAGAATCTTCCTCCTCTGAATTGTCATTGGTAGTCTGGGATAGAGGTTCCTTGTTCATGGAAGGAAAAGCAAGTCATTAGACAATAGGCGACTAGGTTGGATGGAAGTTACAATAAAAAGCAACAATGTCAAGTTGAGTTACATATTAGAAAGGAAATTCCCTTCTTGATAGACAGAAAATGAAGTCTAATAATAAACTATGTAATTTAACAGACACATTAAAATTTGGTTCCAAAGATTATAGCATACTTCTTCCTAGGACAAGTTTCTATAAATTAAATGGATTCCTTCCCAATTTTGACATAGTCCAAGGGAGATAACCAGAGGTAAGGAGATACATTTATAGCTTGCCTAAGAGTTTTAAAAGAAATAAACAAAAAAATGAACAGTTAAAAATAAATAAATAAAACAGAATCTGAAATTTTCTCTAAGTGAAAGAAGCTAGATTTCTTTCCTACCCACACGTAACACAAAATAAGCAGTATAATTAAGCTTATGTTTAAGAAAATAATCTTTCATCCAACCAGAGTTAGGAAAAAAATCAACCTTATTCAAATGAAAAGATCAAATTCAAATCACAAAAAATTACCACAAATGAAAAACTAAGATAAAATAATTTTAGCTGTCCTTTGTACTAGATTGAAAAGGGAAAGAGGTTGAAAACATACCATTTGCTTCTGGGTGGTGAAACTTTTGGCAATGCTGGTATGTGCTAGTTCCTGGTCCATCTGGGCCATGTATGACTTGAGATCATCCAGAGTCCCTTTGACAGATGCTTCTTCTCCAGGCTCCTGTGTTTCAAGATCCAAGTCATCATCACTGTCTAAACATTCAGAGTCTTCCTCATCCAGATCATCAGAGTCTGACTCATGGGACTTTGAACCTACACAGACCCCAACACAGAAAGAGTCACTTGGTACATTTTTTTGGCGTGACTATACATCTCAAAAAAATTAGAATATTCTCTGCCAAAAAAAGGTGAATATACACAGGCAAAATACTTCAGAAAAATCCCCTCCAGAAAATGATACTGCTGGCAGGCATTTGCAGAAAAGTACATGGGCTAAGCTGAAAGATTCCTTTTTTTTTTTTTAGGTGAATTCAATTGATGAAAAATTTTTACTTAAGAAATTTAAAAACTACATAATACATGAATACATTCTGATGTAAACATTCAAATTACATAGAGTTATTGTCTCACATTTCATTCTCTTCCTAGAGTTAAGCATCTTTTAACAGTTCGGTGGGTACCCACATTTTTATTTACATAATTCTGTGTGTGTCTGTATGTGTATACAAAATATTTTTTACACAGATATATTGAACTATGGTTTGCTTTTCTATTTATTTATTTATCTTGGAGGTCCTTTGCTGTCAAAACACAGAAATGGACCTCATTTTTCACTAAGGCTATACTGTACTTCATAAAGTTAATGTACTATGATTTTTTTGGCGGGGGGTAAAATTGTACTATAACCCAGTTTTTGCTTCTACAATGTTGCAATCACCATCTTAGCACACGCAGCTTTTTCATGAGGTAAATTCCTGGAAGTGAAAATAGCAAAGTCAAAGGTTAGGAACATTCTGGAGTACCAAACTGCCTTGAGAAAAGATGACTTACACCTCCACCTCCACAGCTGAACAGTGCTCCTTTCTCCCACACTTGAGCAAACTGATTATTATCAACCTTTAAAATTTTTCCCAGTATGATGGGCCAAAAAAATAATTCTTACTTTTATTGTATACTTACTTGTTTACTAGAAAGAGTTAACTATTTTCAAATATTTATTGATTATATTTCTTCCTCAAGACACTGCCTGTTTATATCCTTTGTTGATTTTTTCTTAATTGGGCTATTTGTCTTTTTTTTTTTTTTAGTAGACTATTAAGTGTTATTGTGCTTAGTCGCTCAGTTGTGTCCCAACTCTTTTTGACCCCATCGACTGTAGCCTGCCAGGCTCCTCTGTCCGTGGGGATTCTCCAGGCAAGAATACTGGAGTGGGTGGCTATGCCCTCCTCCAAGGGACCTTCCCAACCCAGATATCGAACCCAGTTTCCCGCACCGCAGGCAGATTCTTCACCAAGGAAGAATCCTTCCCTTCTATACCAGGGAAGCCCAGGATATAAGTGCAGGATGTTTAAAAGAGAGAAAAAAAAGAACAATGTAATACGGGAGCCCATGTAAAACCCTATCTAACACACAGCATTCATTCACTCAACAAAGATTTAATGAGCAACTACTATGCCAGGAACTAAGCAAGGCATCTTCTGCAAAATTACTTAGTAGGGCAACAATTAATAGTTGAAAGCAACTCAAAATCACACACACACACAAAACAAAATACAAATGAGATCCAATGCGCCAAAGCTCTAGCAATCTGTATACAACTTACAGTTGCAAAAGAAAAATAAACATCACTGTAACTCACCTAAAATCTTATCAAAATAATTAAGAAAAGAATCTGC